ATATCATATCATATCATATTATATAATTTCGATTGGTCCACATTTCTTAGATAAGTTCACAAATATACAGTAGACAAAAATACATTAGATATAGTGGTTCTGGTAGCGTCATTCATTTATTTCCATTCCGTCGTGCGATACATTGTGCAGATTCGAGACTGTTAATCTTTGCTTAAGCCTAGCCTCTAAGAGGCGCTATATTGGGATATAGATTGTCACTTGCCTACATAAAGGAGAGCAAAAAGGGAATGAGCGATGACACATTAATTTATTTTATAATGTCGTTGCTAGATGAAAGTAAACTAGATACAACGGTATGAAGGCCGAGAGTATGCGGTCTTTAGTATGATCGTGGTCTCCTTTCGTTGCATAGAAATTGTATGATCTTGTTTTCGCAACTTGGCTATATTGGCAGGAAGACCTAGGAAAACACACCTTGTCCGGAGTGCATATTATGGGTAATAATTTCCAGAGTCAGGTCGCAAACTTGGACCGTGGTCTGACTCTGTAAATTATCATGCCTACTATGGACTACGGACAAGGTACATTCATCTAGATCTTCCTGACAATATGACCAAGTTGTGGAAAATAAAGTCAAACAAATTCTAAATTAGATACAGTAAATAATAATAAGCATCTTTAGTTTTTCTTGTATCTATATAGTACTTCAGATCGAGCATCTTCCAACTATATCTAATGAGGAAAATATAAGATATGAGCCAGGCTTCAAGTCGGGTTGCTCTTCAAATGCGTTCTTTTTAAAATCCTTATGCTTCACCAAACACCTTGTTGTAAAGTCTTCATATTATAGTGCCGTGCGTGAAGGAGATTTCGATTGTATAACAAATACTATTATTGGGACTAAGTACCGCAGAGCGTGCCAGCAAGAAAATGTGTCTTAATTAATTGCTGAATTAATTTTTTACCAGGAAATAACAGCTCTTAACAAAACTTCCTAAGTCTGCCTTACCTTCATGAAGTTCAGAACTAGGGTATATTGCTTATGAAGGATCATAAACATTTTGATATTTATGCCAAACTATGATAACAATTATTATTTATTAAGTCATCCATTCTTTCTTATTACCTTATTTATGTACGGATAATAATGAATCTCAACTCTATTTGTGAAAAATGCCACTTGCTCTGAAATAATATTCTCCGAATCTAAGCCCATGAGATAAATCCGACGTGACTGTTGCCGAAGGGCATCTTTCAAGAATGCTACAAAGAGTGATAGAATGCTCTAATTATATACTTTAGAGACCTGACCCGAACGTCTGATTGACGTAATTGCGCATAGCCCTGGGAGCCAATTGCTAGGCTATAAGCTGGCTAGGCATTTTATGCATACTCCAATTGATAGGTGGGCAATTAGTCGGACATGGCCCGAGAATGAAAGGTGCTAAGTTATTGCGCATGCAGTTCGATGTGGTGAATCATTTGCTATGGAACAACTTTACGCCGATGGCCTACCCAAAGTGTATCAACTTCACTAGAAAGCAGAAACAACCTTTCATAGTCAAATGGTATGATAAAAATGACCTTACATCCCTCCAGTCAAATGGGTTGACTACACCATCAAGTTTCCGCAAAACGCACAAGATCTATAATTCATACATGCAAGTCTATTCCTATGCGTGCACCTATACACTGCTTCTTCATAGATTTACCCAGTTCCATATTATTTCTTGTAGTCTAATACACACATAAGCGCACACACATAATTGGACACGAATGCTTTTCCACACCTTCATCTACATTGCTTAATGCAGACTACCACATTTCGCCATGGGCTGTTTGTTCGGCCTGGATCGTGTCCCCCAGAGATCAAATTGCCAAGTTCAGGCAAATTTATTAACAGAAAGCCAACCAGCTCTAGCTTCCACTGTTTCTATCCTCTATCTATCTATAATTAAAAGCCTATTACTTCCTATGCCCCAGTCTCTTGTATGTCAACCCACAAATGTTGTGGTTCAACATTGAACCAAATCAAAACCAGCTGTACCACAACATTTGTGGGTTGGCACACAAGAGACTAGGGCATGGCAAATTCTAGACTTGGTATTAGGGATAGAAACAGGATAGAGACGGCGGGGACCGGAGCTAGTTGGCTCACGGTAGATCGGTTTTACCAGAGGCGTGGTACATGTAGAAAAAGGGTGACCATGACACTCAGAGGCTTACGCCTCGAATTAGTCGCCCAGACGCAGGTA